CGAGTATTGGGGTCGCGCGCTAATCTGAAGTACAGTAATCCGATGTTTTCATAGCAATTTGCTTTGGTGGCACTTCTAGCACAACTTTGGTTTTCGCTTTACCGGGAATAGGGAATATTGAAATTTCGCGCTTTCCCGGGCCGACACCTCAGGTATAGCTGTACAAATTCGTTTTAACACTCTCATGTTAATGCCACCAGGTCCACTAGATTTGTTTGCTGGTAAGGTCTTAATCATATCAGATACCTCCTTTTCGGTTACGATGACATTTGTTATACTGTTAACACAGCGATGGCTAACAGGTGGCAAAGTCTTACCGCTATCATTAACATTTGAAACACATACAAAATAGTCATCTAATGTTTGAGCTTTATCCACATCTGTAAAAACTGAAGGTACATCCCAGAATCATCAGTTACAAGAGGGGGAATGGGTCCTGATGAAGTAGTACCTTTAAACAAAATATTAAAGATCCTCCAATAACCACCTAGTTGAGTAGACTGAGGTGATAAATAGTTATCAAAATAAGAATAAAAGTATTTTTCTGTCTACGTTCTCTTTTCTTTTAAGTATGTTACGAGGAGCGTTGAAAAAAGTAGCCAGTCTAACTATATTCTCGATGTCCAATGTTTGAAAAGCTTCCATTTTATTTAGGAGGAATTATTAGCAAAGTCATATCCAAAATTTCACATATGTGGGTAATGTGGGTAACGAGATATTAGTCATCACAACACATTGGGTTATAATATTTCTTAAAAATTTGCAGAACATGAAAAACGATCTGTCATTTGGTACCTCTTGCATAATGGTATACTTTCAGATAATATCATATAAAATATGTTCATTATAGTATTGGATGACTTTCCGCCATAATCAACATTCAAAGGTTTGGATTGCTTGATTTATATTTAGACGGGGACCGTTTTTAAGGACATTCCCATTTTAATCTTTCAGAAACATTGTGTCAAGATATAAATATATTGAGAGCTGACATTCATTATTTAGTTTGACCCCTTGGCATCATGTATGAATAAGTGAAAACATTAGAATAATTATGTCCTTATGATTACGTCATCTGAAAGGGGTGTGGGTAGTGTCTTCAAAACAAGCTCTTTCAGTAAACATGAAGGGGGAGCCACTTGAACAAGCGATTGTAGTTTCAAATTGCCTTTGTGGGCACTTAAACATCTAAGTTTGATTCTAGCAGACTTCTGCCAATCTCAAACATACAAAATGTTTCTTGCACAATGTTTCTTGCACATTTGGAACCTAATAACTGACATTCAATGTGGTTTTCGTAAAAACAATTGTTGGATCGTTATTTGTGGTGGATTTTAACATTTCTTATCGTGGAAAAAATATACATTCTGTTGAAAGACAACTCTAGCATGTTTAAACCAGATTGATAAATGGTATTTGGAAAATGGATTTAAATTTCCAAAATATAAAACCTCAAATATAAATCAAACATAAACCTCACAAAAACCTAGACTTATATTTAGATAACACACTTAAGGTGGTAAAAGAAATAACACACCTAAGGTGGTAAAAGAAGAAAAAATATTGGGTTTAATTTTTTATGAGCACTTGACCTTTCGACCTCATATTTAATATTTACAATATAAATGCCTGAAGGCCCTTGATTTCCTAAAATTTATCTCTAATACAAACTGGGGAGGTGATCAGAAAACCCTCCTCAAACTCTACCAAGCACTTATACGCTCCAAACTGGATTATGGTTCCATTATCTATGGTGGAGCCTGCAAAGGCAACCTTAAAGTTTTAGATTCTACCCACCATCAAGCTCTGAGACTTTGTCTTGGATCTTTTCGTATCATGAGGATCTGTACAATAACAAACCTTCTCTTATTCCACCTGTTTTTATATTGTATTATCATTTATAGTTAAAATATTTTAGATTTAATTACTAGGTTTAAATTTATATCTGTGATAATCTAGTTGTTTTACTGTCCTTTGCAGACAGGTAAGTACATTCTCTAAATGTGTATTTAAAAATTTACAACTTTCTTAGTCACGATATGGCTGAAATACTGCCTATGGGACTTTAAACTCACTCACTCACTCCTAGTTAATCACCGAGGACGGCGAACAGAACACTTCGTAGCTTTAAACATTATCCTTACTTGTATGCAAGCTTATGTAAGTGTAAACGTCAGACATTAGAGACATAAGATTTGTGTAATGTTTGTGTCGCTTTTCTTGTTGCTCATGAGGCTGAACTGCAATGGATCGCCACAATAGTTCCGGTTAGAAATGCAGTCTATTTATCTCGTCGGCTTCTTGGAAAAGACCACTGTTCATTTGGTTGAACTTAATGATGCAATCATGGGCTAGGTTAACGTGAAAAGTAATGTCTCAACATTTTGTTATTTATCATGTGAGCTAGTTTATGTAAATCGAAAACACCAGACATACACTTTATGTGATGTTTGTGTCGCTTTACTTGTGGCTCATTAGGCTGAACCGTAATGGATCGCCACAATAGTTCTGCTTAGAAATGGAGTCTATTTATATTTAATGTTCAGCAATTAACAAAGTCGAGGTCACCCAGCCTCACCAGTGGGACACGCAACATACTTCGTCCTTGGCCCAAAGTAATAACAGCGCCTGTCGTGTAGAATCTCTCGGCAGCAGTAGGAGTGTCGGCCACAAAATCAGTATGACACCTTCCACCCTCCAGGAAATCTTGTCACATTGGAACTAGCCACAGAATGTCCAGGTTACTGACAACAAACAAGGTTTACCCCCACTGCTTGTCTCACAAAGTCCACGTCTAAGATATGAGGACGTGGGTGACAAGTATCCAGATTGAGATTAACAGTATATTCTGCATGAGAATTGTGCAAACTGAAATTTACTGTTCATAAACAAACAACGGGGCACGAGTTTGAACATGAACCTTGGAAAGTTATAAACTTTTGATATACAAAGTGTAACTGAAATATTACTATATTACGGTCAAAGAGAGCAGACATATATGTCCTTTAGATGAACATTTTTATATATGTAGCTGATATAACAATAAGTGTGGTTAAGCAATCAGAGGAAACGGCAAAGAGCGACAATGGCTAGTGACTTCATGTAACAACCATTCTCTCAACTCGATCGATCATTTACCGTAATTAATACGCTCTTTTTAAAATTGGTCGAATGAATACATGACTATGATTATTAGTGGCCGACTCTCGGAGGGGGTTGAAGTAGCGAAAAATACTGCCCTACGAAGAGGGTACTTAAGACAACATCCTTCAGTGTTTGTTGATCATTGCCAGAATTTTAATGGAAGAATGTTTATAGTTTTAATTTATGGATAAATTGCTAAAATATCGCCAACAGCTGAGGGGATGATATAAATTCAGCTCGGGATCATGCAGGTAGCAACCGTAACGTAAGTCCCCATGGTGCCTAGCATGGTGATCTATCTTTAGTTGCCTTCTACAGCCCGATTTTATATTGTGTTGCTTTGAAATTTTACACTGAAGTCAAACTAGTATTTATTCATGTGTGATAATCTATTCGTTATACTGTCCTTCGCTGACAGGCTATTAAAAAGTATACAATAGTCTAAATATTTATTCTTAATACATGCCTAAGATATGGATGAAATATTGCCGATATGACTCACTCACTCAGTTACACATTTTGTCTCCTGAAATTTGTGATGCTTATTTGCAGATTTTGCGTTTTTTGGGAGTACCAAGATATATATCACAATACGATATATTGCTGTAGGCTTTTCGCGAACCGGTTCTCCCGCTACGTAATTTTCGTCATGTAGTCAAAACTATTAATACCATAGATAAATACGTGTAAATAGATTTGCAATATTTTAACTTTGAATTGCTCCTCAACCCGGATACGCTCCCCTTGATGCGCATAGTGGATTTGGGGTTAACCTCAGTTGTACGTGAAGCAGACCACAAAACGCCAGGGAGATCTTGATCTGACTTTACAACAGACGTGGTCAACATGGATAGGTTCAGGTTTTTATTGGTGTATCTTGTGCTTCCAATGGTAACACCGTCCGAAGGTAGGCCGCCAATGTATGATACTTATGCGATATATATATATAACAATTGACGATTTTCTTAGCATTTTGTAAATTGAAACATAGATGATTTTTAGAGTATATACTGAGGGAAACAAATAAGGGAACACCACTTCATGGCAGTGTTTCTTTAGGCACAGATACCGTATTGTCTGAGTCGTCGTGCTGCTGTTCGTCGACTTATAGGATGTTCAAGCTCAGTCGCAGCTGATGACGTCATAGATAGGAAACGGTTTCTCAGGTGCGGGATACGTTGGGGGTGGTGACGCGAGGTCCTCTACTTCTGGGCCTGTCTACTATCCGCCCTGTTTGCCTGTAGCGGGTCATCAGCCTCGTGATGGTTAGACGGTACAGCCCAAGGTCGCTGCATCATGTGCATGAGAGGCGCCCATCTGTACCTTTCCAAAGGCTCTCTCTGGATTCCAGCGAAAATCGGGGCATGGTCGCTGAAGTTGACTTGAAGGTCTGATGTCGTGGAAGGTTTGTGTGCGCTCTTATACCCCAACGATGCACGTGCTTCATGCAATCCGTTCACGAGTTTTTCGTGCTTCACGACGTGTTGCAGTGATACTGTTCGCTCAAACACAACATGTTCATGACAAATGTTAGGTAAGCGCTGAGGCGATAGTTTTAAGCTTCCTACAAAATTTGAGTTAGAGTCCCAATTATCAAAAATCAAATCGTTTCTTTTGACCGTTAGTTTAGAACTGTGAAGCTTGAAATCCCAATACCATTCTAGAAAAATAATGTTACGAAGAAAACTAAGTTCCTAAATGTCTGTAAAATATATCCCTTCAAATCTATTATTGGTACGAAATACGCAGAAGCATGTGTTTACCTCAGGAGTTACAGAAGCACCCCAAATGAAGTCAAACTGCAAACATGGTATGCTACAAAACTTCAAATAATCTGAAACATTTTACATTTTCAGTGGCCTGCCCATTTGGGGATCAACTCTCATATCGAAACATGAGCTGTCCTGAGCTTGTCAGTCCTACTACTAAGCATTTCTGCTATAGAGAGTCTTACTCTGTGTTAATCTGCTGTGACACGTGTCGGCGTCATAAAGGAAATGATTCAGGTAGAGATAAACAGATGCAAAGAAAGACCCACATTCATTTCAGTACAACCTTTGTAGTCAATGTAAACTGTCACGAAGACAAAATTATTAATGTTTAGGAACATCTTAAATTATCTTTGTTAATTGTTTGGCTTGCAAAGTAACATTTTTCGATTTTCTTTTTACACATAGCTATGTCTATCGCCAAAACGCAGCAATATTCAAGCAGTATTTGCATCAATTTCACATGTAGAATGTTTGTATAGGGTATGAAGAAAGCATAGAATGCATGATATGATACACAAGTACGAGAAATATGCCACGATTAACAGCTGAAGAGAGAGAAAGAGCCGTTGGGATGGTGCAGATGGGGTCGACATACAATGATGTTGCCAACGCCTTTGGATGCCACAGTTTCACGGTTACAAGATTTATTCAGGGCTTCAGAAAGACTGGGGTCACCGTATAGTGTCCAATAAGTGGACGTCCACGCATCAGAACGCCAGCTGAAGATAGGTACCGCCATCGTTAGGAGGGTAACGTTTCTTTTGGCGTTTGGTGTATCCTGTTTGAAGCGACTTTCCACGGCCATCTTGTACTTTAAAGGCGTTTATGCTTCATCGAACAATCACGTGCTTTAACAAGAACTTGCCATCTTGTGTGTTTACAGTTGTCAGCTTTTGAGGTACATTTTTTCTCCCAAATTTCAAAGAACGTCATACGACACAGACGTTGTTCGATCAAGGCTACAACATTCAAGACCTCAGTGAAGATTTCGAAACGTTTTACATACACATAGAAGGACATTTCACAATCTGGCATTTGGATATTCATAAACATTGACAAAAATGGTAGTCGATGGAAACTCCCACTTGGACTTCTGACATGCATTCACGATTTTGTTTGCTGTAAACATTTAACTTGCCTTGTCATATGTTTTTGACAAGTGGGGGCAGGATATGTTCACCCTTCGCAAAAAAATGGTATTTTGATTATTTTCATAGGGCGATGCGGTGGCCTAGTGGTACGGCGTCCGCTCGTCACTGACGTCTCGGGTCCGATGTCCCACATGGGTTCAGTGTGTGAAGACGATTTCTGGAATATTGCTAAACTCATACTGTCGCGACGAGGGACACCGGAAATGGGCTTCACACCGGGCACCCATACGGGGAATCGAACCCGACGTGACGAGTGAATACGTCAACCACTGGGCGCCCCCCTTAACAGATAGCTCGTTAAAATTGCCATGCCTAAAAGTCATGATCTACTAGCGTGGTACAAAGAAGCATTATCCTGAATAACAAATTGTCAGTTCCTGCTTCAGCATTTTGTTGCACATTTTACTTGTTTTGATCAAAGTATCTAGTTTAATGTGCACATGTTCTTCTGAGTTCATTGCTCTTTAAATGTTATTATTTGAACGAGACATCCGTTGGGTAATGACGTTTTATCTGGCCTTTGGTGTTTTGACTAAGTATACTTTTTCATGCTGTACGTCTCTCTAATAAAATATATAATTTCATTGACAAACTGCTCATTGTATGTAACACAACCTGAAAATAATGTAGGCAAAATGCAAAATTATTGTGTGTTATTGTTTTTCAGTAAATTGATGTTTATACTCCCACTAACAACTCTGCAAAAGCTTTCAAATTTTCAAGGTAGATATGTGGAAAACTGTTCTCAAAGTGGCCATCGGTGACTTAAATGATGCTTGATTCAAGTGCCTCTTTTCACTTGTACTCTATGTTATTTATTTAGGTGGACAACTGACTAGCCTTTCCATTTGTTTATGACGGCGTCACCGGTGGGGCAGGATACGCTCCATTGTCGAGTACCCGCTGACTTTTACACTCAATTCGACACTCTGAAAACCTGTGATCGGGTTCGCTGAGAATATGTTTCCGGGTTTGTTAGCGATCTAATATTATCTGCAATACATCAAAGCGGCATGAAACCCAACTCCCTCACTCACTTTCATATCTGAGCTTACCTTCTTTAGTTGTTTATATTGCGTTATGAATTCTGAACTTCATCAAAAGCACCACGGTTTGGTGCGAGGTAACAGTTTTACCCATACTCTGCAGAGAACAGTTCATACGGAGACGCTTGACGCTTGTACTATAATATTCATCCTCGATAATCTCCAGGGTATACGTTTCTATAAATCTCCACTGGTACCCTGGATGCATCTTCGGTTCGATAATTGTATTACTTTCCTTTGCTGGCTATTTATTCAATCAATTGAGCGTACCAATAACAAGGCTTCTACATCACTCACTCCCGCTTCTCTTATCTAACCGATTAAACTTGGCAACACAATTGTTGCAGAAGTACACTGAAAAAGGTAGAAGGAGTTCTGTCATATATTTTTTAAGGTTTCATACCTGTCAGTTTGTCTCTATGTTTTGTTCCCCTAATCTGAGTCGCCCAGCGAGCAAACGTTCGCAGCTAGTGCCGCCATCTTTGTTGACACTGGCAAGATCGGTTTAATGGCTTTTCTGATTGGCTGCTGTGAGAAGGCTGAGCCAGCAATGGGAGGTAATACAATTATCGGGCCGAGTCGTAGATGCATCCGCGGTACAAGTCAAGTCAGAACATTGATTACACAAGAGTCTCGTTTCCTGCTGACTGGGTTCCGTCGTGTTACGCCCCTTAGTACAATAACCAGTCCTGAATTTTGAGACCAATTCATTCAGCTGGATACATAATATTTATCAGTATTATTTTTGATACATCTAAGCATTTGTATATTGCAACACTATGCTCCGTCTAATCCTTGCAAATAAGTCGTGCAGAGTGCTCTGTCGTACAGCGGGCTCTGACAAACGGAAATCTGGAAATCGGAGAAATCTCAAAACGAGGCTCTGCGGGTAGAAAAGTTTGGCGGTCTGGTACGGACTTGGTATTATATCAATCACATTGTGCGTTATAAAACTACACTGATTAAGCGCAAAGAATACATAACCGGTGTAACCAGTGAGACAGATGAAATGTGAATTATTTTACGAACTCATCAAACAGGGGCAGTCTGTGACGTATTAGTTAAGGTCATGCTGCCTCAACCTCGCCATAAAATATAGAAATACGAAGTTATTAAAGTTTCACATTAAAATTAACTTGTAAATACCATTTTCTTATGAAGCAAGGAATTGGAATTCAGTGTAACAATAGTTGTTTGTGGTGTCTCTTTTCACTTTTACACGAGAAAATTCCGATCGCCTGAAAAGTAGGTCATTGTCTGAATAGGTTAATGAGACTGATATTTCGTTTTGGGAGATTTATCGGAACGTATACCCTAGAGATTCGAGGAAGCTAATATTCAACCGGAGGAGAAGAATGTATGCTACGTTGTTCTGGATGTAAGTCAGGGAAAAGGGGATTTAATGGTGTACCTGCTTAGCATAACAAAATTCATGTAGTGCTCCGAAAGACCAGGGTACCGTCGTACAAAGCTGTGTTAGCGCTAAGGTGACCGTAACTCTCATACCGTAACATAAGCCAACGACATACACAGCGCTAAGGTTGTTTTGTACAGTGGCACCTCGGTGTTTGTATTAACCAATTGATTCACTGATTTCGTTGACAACAGAGAACTGTCCATACGGAGATCGCATTGCAACCTGTGCCACGGAGATTCCACCCCAGAGAAAGAACTTTTGCTACGACGAGCACAATTTCAACCTCTGATGTGAGACATGCCCGCCATACAAGGAAGACGTAGGTACGTCATACATGATGCTTTGTACGTCAAGGAACTGACGAGAAGGCAGAACAACATGCAAATAACTATAACAAAGAAATACTGACTGTCTGAGTTTAGTTTTACGCCGCTTTGAGCAATATTCCAGCAACATCACGGCGGGGGACACCAGAAATGGGCTTCATAAAACAAAGAAATAAGGATGACAATTGTGTGTGTCACTTTTCTGATGCCTCCACCTAATGGGGGCATCTTATAGGGTGTCATTAATAAAGATTAATTATTCGTGCATGATAAAGTTATAACGAATATTTTAATATTTGCGCACATAAGAATTTGGATTCATTACAAAAATGCATGATAAATTATACGTATATTTTAATATTTGAACACATGGGAATTTGGAATCATGTTTTCTGCTTTTCCGGATTTTAAGTGTGCCCCAATTGACGAGGGGGTGGGAACAAAACAACTGATTCACTGATTCGCTTACTTCAGAGAACTGTACATACGGAGATCGCATTGACACCTGTGCCACGGATATTCCACCAGAGGAGAAGTACTTATGCTACAACGAGTACAATTTCAACCTCTGTTGTAAGACATGCCCGCCACACAAGGAAGACGTAGGTACGTCATACATGATGCTTTGTACGTCAAGGAACTGACGAGAAGGCAGAACAACATGTAAATAACTATAACAAAGAAATAAGGATGACATTTGTGTGTGTCACTTTTCTGAAGCCTCCACCTAATGGGGCATCTTATAGGGTGTCATTAATAAAGATGGTATTATTCGTTGGTAGCTGCAAGCTGTGGTTACTCTTCAGTGTTCTCTCTGTGAAACGTGTGTTACCTAGCGTGTTATAAGAAAAGGATTAAATGCCAAAAGATGCATGATAAAGTTATACGAATATTTTAATATTTGAACACATGGGAATTTGGATTCATTATAAAGTTAATGAATATTATTGTCGTAAGGGAAATGGTTTTAATGCCGTATGTTGTTTTCTGCTTTTCCGGATTTTAAGTGTGCCCCAATTGACGAGGGGGTGGGAACAAAACAACTGATTCACTGATTCGCTTACTTCAGAGAACTGTACATACGGAGATCGCATTGACACCTGTGCCACGGATATTCCACCAGAGGAGAAGTACTTATGCTACAACGAGACCAATTTCAACCGCTGTTGTAAGACATGCGCCTCCTACAAGGGCGACGAAGGTACTTCAGATACTTCTTGGAATGTGGGGTCTGAAACATTTAGGCAATATTCATATATAGAGGTTGGTTGTGCCAAGGTGACCTTGGGTGATGTTCTTAATATCGATCACTGGTTTGTCTGGTCTTTATTGATTATATAGGTGTGAAATTGAGTCGAACTTTCACAAAGCGGGAATGTCAACTATAATTACCACACCTGGTGGTATCACTGATTTTCAATCATCCATTCATATAATTGTAACTGGTATTTTTCCTCCACAACAATGGGAATTCGTGTCCGAGGACAGTTAACACTGGTTATTCTTCTGTTTTCCGACGTTCTATATTATGTTATTAGTTTGTTATTAACAATGTATGTACTTGACCTATTTTCTAGGCTGTGAGTATGGAGATGACGAACGGAATAGGCTGTGTTCCCTGGAAAGATGTGACCCGTCTGATATCACCTACATCAACACTTGCTGTGCTACCTGTAGCATATCAACAACCACAACCTTTACACTTGCATCCACGCCCATATCCATAACATCAACACCTGCACAAACGTCACCATTCACAACCACAACGTCTACACTCACACCCACGCCTACAACCACATCAACAACCTCAACACTTCCACCAACGTCAACATCCACATCCACAACCTCAACACTTACACATATATCCACAACCACAACCTCAACACCTACATCAACGTCCACATCTACACCCACAACCTCAACATCTACACACACGTCTACACCCACTTCCACATCCACAACCTCAACACCTACGTCCACGTTCACAACCACAACTACAACACCAACCTCAACACCTACGTCCACATCCACAACCTCAACACCAACGCTCACGTCCCCGTCCACATCCACAACCTCAACGCCTACGCCCACATCAACAACCACAACCTCAACACTTACATCCACGTCAACATCAACAACCTCAACATCCGCGACCACAACCCCAACACCTACATTCACGTCAACATCAACATCCACAACCTCAGCGTCTACAACCACGTCAACAACATCATCCTCAGTACCAACATCAACTGCATACACAACATCGCCTTCAACAACTACTCCCGTTACAGCGACACAGACCTCCAGCAGTGGTATGTATAGTCTTTTCCAGCAATTGACAATATCATGAAACACATTATAGGTTGATAACCAAATTTTTTATCCGACTATATGCAACATAAGGTCTGAGTAAGAGTAAGACTAAGAAGTGTGAATAACAAGAAACAAGAACTGTCCGATTTCACCTCAAAGGTTGTCTCAGTATCCAGAACTAAAATTAGTCTTTGTGATTATTTCTGACAGTAACACCAATAGACACGTTGTCATCGTTTATTTCTTTGTTATCGTTATTTACGTGTTCTGCCTTCTGTTCCTTGACATGCATAGCTTCATGCATGGCGTACCTATATCTCATTGTATGACGTGCATGTCTCACAACATAGGTTGTAGTTATTTCTCGTTGTAGCATAAGTTCTTCCTCTGGGGTGGAATATTTATGACACAGGTGTCAGTGTGGTCTCCGTATGGGGAGGCTTGTTAAGTACTTTATGTGGAAGGATTTGTCAGTTTTCTAGTGGCAGTGAAGTCCTGTAGTATCAGTAACCAGTGGTGCTTGCAGTAATAAGTACGCAGAGGCGTCAGTACATGGAAGAGTAGACTCGAAGTACGATTTCACCTGACGGACAATCACTTCTCTCACTCCCATGGTGTGAAATGATGTTTGAAACGTTTAAGTTTTTTAACGTTTTGCATAACTCTTATCATGTGAAATCGCAAATTCATAGTACATTTATCATAGGTAAACAACGCCAGTGACGATAAGTAACCAGGTCCACGTTGACAAAAGAAATACATCTTAATGAAGATAATAGCTTGTACATGCTAGTATTTGCTAATATTTGTATAGCGCCGATATCCAGCTCAGCTACTCAACGGCTCTTTGTTTTTCCCCCTCGATCACTGGATGTCAATCTCAAACGGCACATCGTATTGTCAATCTCAACTCCCTGGGGCACATACAACTCTTGCAGTCACTATGCGCACCAAGTTAGTGTGGTTTTCCAATCCTTACGAGGTACCCATTCACAGCTGGGTGGACTAGGACCCATAGTCAAAGTACTTTGTCCAAGATTACTGCACGTTACTGTACCAGCAACTAGGTGTTTGCACGTATTCATGTGGCCACCATCTGGTCATATACCAACGGATTCGTGGGTTCTTTTAAGTGCACAGGGTTGTGTACTGTACACTAGGGGTTGTGACAACACTGAAAGAGTCTACACACAAAGTTGACTCCAAGCTGTTTACACCCGGACACAGGTGGGCTCGATCCCTACACCTCAAGCTCGCTTGATCACTCGCGTGGCGCCTTAGCCAATTTGCTAAGCGAGCCCATCTTTTGGTTTCAGGAACGATAAACGATAATGACATGAAAGCGACTTTGAAGACGAGTCTATTGGTTACAAAGATTGTCTGGAATATGATTATTACATCTAGTTCAGCAATGCGCCGGATCGAGCTTTCTACAAATTCTACTGCGACATTTTACGACAATGTGACATGCCGCGATTGTATTACAACTCTCCCTTGTAAGCTTGTTGATCTATGTCTGTTCTAGGACTGGCAACTCAGGGTATGATTGTTACTGCAGCAGTTAGTGGATTGGCTTTTCTCCTTTCCCTCCTAGCCATCAACCTCTGGTATGTGTAAAACAATAGCGTGTACGAGAATGGTTTCACAGGATACGGGCCTTTTAGTAAATGAGTGTGGTTTTACGCCGCTTTTAGCAATATTCCAGAAGTATCACGGCTGGTAACACCAGAAGTAGGCTTTACATATTGTACCCATGTAGGCAATCGAACCTGGGTCTTCGGCGTGACCAGCGATGGCTTTAATCACTGGGCCACGCCTAATAACCCATTGAACTATTTACTTATATTTTATCGAATATTTAACTTTAATATTTGTAAAACAATATTCTGAATCTGATACATTGAATGCTTCACAATTCGGAGGACAATTCAAATAATATTTTATGACCAGTGATTATGTTTGACCACGGTTTTCTGTCATTATCAAAACATGAAGAAAAGCAGCTCTTGTCACAAGCTTGGTTGAGGATGGTTGAGGGAAATGTTTTCGGAAAACGTTTTGAATCGGAACTTGCATAATTCATGTAAGTCAGTGCCGTCTTGTTTTTTAGCAATTTGACGAACACCTAGTGTACATTAAGAGTTTTTTGCAAGTTGAGATAGTTTTAGCCCCCAAAACACGCAAACAAGGACACACGCACGCACTTTCACTTGCACTAACTTCCTCAAAATACACTATAAGATCCATATCCTCATAATTCATCATACAACATAAGGTCATTCATTAGACCGCCTCATTTGTACGTTGGGGAGTTTTGGTCCATGATTGATGGGTTTGATTTGTATGAATCTTCCACAAGTATTATATATATTATCACCCGAAACATCTGATATTTCTGTACTAATTGGCACACAGACAATAGCTTAATTCCGTATCTTTTAACGTAATGTCTTCACTGGAATCCGTGCGACTTGCAGGTGCCACCGGAACAGCGGTACAGGCTTTCCCAGCTTAACACCTGGGGCCATCGTTGGTTTTAGTGTTTTACTACTTTGCCTTTCGCCAAACTGGGTCTGTTCTTGGCACATAATCGAGACTGATTATTTTCAGGCGTTGACGTGTTTTTCACATGGCACTAGTTCCAAGTCTGTGAAGCCCAGTTATAATTGTTTTAAATTGGAACGCAGTAAACATCATGCGAAAGGATCGCGAATTATGGTGCCGATGTTACTAACAAATATTTCGAAAGACTGTGAATATAATTGTTATTTTCAATGTCACGCAGGTGCATCTGCAAAGGGAAAGGGAATGAACTCAAACAAACCCCACTGTCTCGTAACCCCGACTACACCCTACCACCTTTGGGTTCATGGAAAACAGTTTAGATTTGGATCAATATATGGCTTCGGGAAAAGTGATCATCGGATCCTGCAAGGTCTAAAGGACGCAACTCTACACACGAAGCCCGATGTTCGTACAGAGAGACTGACATGCCTAGCTTTTAACTATAACCGTCAAACACATATACTGTGAGTGTTTGCCTTTCTGCATGTGTGTTTGTGTGTGTCCGCGTGTGTGTGTATGTGTGTGTTCGTACTCGAAATGTAAATGCATAATAATTTACCGCCTTGTTACATATTATATTTGTAGAAATGGATGGTGTTCAAACAATAGTTACTGATGAATGAATCTTGTTTTGAGACATCGGTGCACACATATATATATCCCGCTGAAAAATGACGTGACGTCCGTTAGTCTGAAGCAATGAAACAACGTGATAATTTCTCTACCCACATCCGTAAGCACAACGTTGAATACCGCGCCAGTGTTAGGTCCAATCGGACGTTGATAATCAGTGTAACGTCCAATCGGACGTTGATAATCAGTGTAACGTCCAATCGGACGTTGATAATGAGTGTAACGTCCAATTGGACGCTGGAAAACAGTGCAACGTCCAATCGGACGCTGGAAACAGTGCAACGTCCAATCCGAAGTCGATTTACGCGTTGGCGGCCATCACTGCTGTCAAGATGAAACCTTGATTCACGTATGAAGAGGACGGTTTGCAACTCGTGAAGTTCCTGCAGCAAAGTTGGACATACAGCCGGATGTTGTCGTAATAGATTTCTCAAATCCTTGCACTGATCGGACATATGTGCAAGACATTTATCAAGCGGACTATCATAAATGCTGTTTGAAAACAAATTCACAGTTGTTGTGGTGTTGCCGACGTTACGTTACAGATGTCGCGAACGTGGTCGGTCCTGGACCTGAAACTTGTTGGTACCGACCAAAGTGATTGTATATGGTGTTACGACGCATACGCAAAAATCGTGACCAATTTATGGCAGTTAATGAAGCATTGATAAAATAATTAAAACCATTTCAAGTTAGGTAAATCCATATGAACTATTGAATAATTTATTTTTTGTTTTATTTTTATTTTTTATTTGTGTGTGTGTGTGATAAACAGATAATAAAGAGCAAAACGGGCACTTCGTTTTAATATTACTGTAACATGTATATGTAACAAAGAGACGTACTAAATTTCGTGCAACACGTACATGCACATAAACTTTCAATGCCCGTTCTGAATCATGAAAATACAATGTATAGAAAAACGTGTATATGCAAACATCACATTTAGCTTATCTGAAAAACCTTTTTTCTAATAAAACCTTTTTATTCTTCGATGTTGAATGAATGCCATATGAACTTTAAACTCTGCAACTCTGACAGAGACATTAGCTAGGGATCAACCAGTGCTGACTAGGGTATTGCAGAGAAGTATTAATATTGCGATATATTGCGATGCAAAAGCATGTATTGCGATGTGTATTGCAATATATTGCAAGATGTTTTTATTAACAAAAAAATACTTATAATCGAGTTAATGTTTGATTTATAAAGCAACTAAACAACACAATCACTATGCTTGATTCACCTTAATAAGAACATAATAATATTTGGCACATATGAAACAAGGAAAAGAACTTAACAATCCAGTTAAATGGAATTTTCAACACGATCATTCCCACCACTTTTACCACAAATTCCACAATCATCAAGATTCGAGTGTTACGAAGGTTTTCCGAATGCATGTCAAAATACCGGTTTTCGATCAGCGTATCGCAATACGTATTTTTTTCATGAGTGAACCGGTAAATACCGGAAAACCGGTTATATTGAGCAGCCCTAGTGCTGACGGTGGATCTCTATCAAGATCTTAACCCTTTTGGCCCATCTTGCCTCTGCAAGTTCCTCCGTCCAGTACTCAAGGCGACTTTTGAAGTAAGGCCACTTATCTCAAGCTAGATGACCACTTCCTTTCATTCTCTTCCGAATGGTCAGGGCGTCAACTGTGAGTTCACATTTCTGTGATGTTCTTTGATGAATCATTTTTTTTTCATCTTTTGTGTTCCCCACAACTTGACAGCTGACCTTAGTGATCCAAACCTGTCAGTCATGTAAGGAACGTGGTAGACCATGCATTGTATGTATGGAATAACATTCCTAGTCTGATAGCCGTCAGTTTCACGAGCCAAGGAGAGAAATGTCTCGAGCCAGGACTTTCAGTTTCGAACACTACATGACCAGATGTGCATGTATCGTCAGAAGCGAGGAGATCGATGTATTCGCCAAACACTGTCCACAGTGTACATACTGTAGAGTCAGGCTCGGAACAAAGAATCCCACCAAGTCGTCCTGGTAATTTAGTGAGAAATGTTATCTTGTTACAACCTCACAGGATTGTCCATTTGAGCATCTTGGAGTCTGTGTCCTCCCACAGCTACAGATACAGGTGTCTAGGTGTCTATTGGGTTCCTTTTGAAAGGACAGAGACTCGTCCAGTCTGATAACCTCGTTGATGATGTTTTTCTCCAGGACAGTCTCTCTGAGAAGAAGATGGACCGCATCAGTGACATTATTATCCCCTGGAATGTCAAGCAGTGGGCAATGGTGGACGCCATACATCGTTTTGTCCGCATATTCCTGGATAGTTTAAAGAGTCTTTTCATTTCTCCCTGAGAATAACATTTCATCGGCAAAGATTTGTCGTGCCTGCCATCCTTGTGTCATCCTTGTGCACGAGACATAAAATGCATGCATAATGTCCGGTTGTGCTTCCTAAGCCGAGGAAATATCAATATATGGTCAATATCATTTTCATGTGAGAACAAAAAAACCAACATCTGTTGCAATAGTATGCTCACCAACAGAAATAAATCCAGCGTGATTGACATCGTTTACCTCTTCCAGCAGTGGATGAAGACTTGCTTTCATAGTACCGTAATCTTCTTTACAGTTCACGATCGCTAATGTGCTCAGAGTTAACGAGGCTAATGTCTCTTCATGCCCACCAGCTGAAGCGATGCAACAGCAAAGTAACCCTGCTGACTTGGGAGCAATCGACTGTCAGCTGGACCGTGACACGTTAGCTTCTGTGCTACCTTCTCCTGTAGTTCATGTTTGAAGCTAAGCATGGTCCCTGGCAAATTCCCTGGAACTCGCTCCACTTCTGTCGTAGGTGTCATGTCATTCTTCATGCTGATAACAGAATGCGATCGTGGAAGTGTTGGGAACAGCTGGGCAATTTCGTGATGCGGTGAAGAACTCACTCCAAGCCTGTCCAGCACAACAATTTAGGAGCGGGGGGGTCTCCTTCTCAGCTTCTGGTAGCATGGAGTAGCTACCTTTGCCATAGGAAATGTTAATATCTGCAGCATTACTTGCTAATGTTAGCCGTTTGGGGGTTAACCCATATTCTTTCAAAAACGTCAGTGTTTTCTCAGACTTCTCTTGAAGGTGTGAGTCATCGTCCCGACTGTCGCTGGGAGAGACTATCACCATCCACTGGGGTGTTTACGGCGTCTTCAGTTGAAGAGCACCATGTTTCCCCACACAGAGCTCCCACTGCAACTCTCTTCGAGTCAAATGTGTGACGTTCATCATTATACATTTCTGAGGACTTCGCCAACTCCCTGGCCAATACGGCCATGGTGTATATGCTTTTCTCACATTTGATTTTCTGTTTCCCTCCTTTCATTTTCTTCAATTTGCGACATACAATTCAAGATTGGGTAACTAGCCTGGTTTCTTCTCTATCATTCTGGTGAATAATAATATAAGCAAGCTAAGAGTTCCCGGATGTCAACCATTGTTTATTTGCCATACTCTTCTTTCCTTGGTTCAGATGTTTAAGGACGGGATTTGTCATTTGCAAATACGCTGCAAATGTTTTTTTTCCAGTTGATGCTTGGACTTGGTTCACCTTAAAACAGTGTCCTTACTCAGTCGTAAGGTCCTCAGGTTGTCTGACATATATTTCAAGAACTTAAAATATTATGAAACTGACAAAGAATCACACAACTCAACAAGTGAATGTTCAAAACATCGTACATATATCGGAATGGCTATTGCTTAACGATGGATCAGGGCCAAGGTACAAGCTCTTGTGCGAGTCTGAAAGACTACTGTCTCTTCGGAGATGCTCGTCCGAAAACTCCTTTGTCTGCCCGTATTTGCAAATGCTGCAGTGAAAATGTGGTTAAAGATGAAGTACACTTTCTCATTCATTGCAGTTTGTATTCGGATTTGAGATAATATATGTACAAGAAATAGAAACAGTTCATCCAGGTTTTTCACACTTTGCACCACTTGAGCAAACTGCGTTCCTCGTGCAGACTTATTTGTTAGTAAATATCTTGCTGCATTATTACAATGTACAAGCGCCGGTAATTTGCTCGCCGACAATAAGCAGTATCTACCACATCCCGCTCATGTTTGAGATATATGTCTTCAACCTTTTAAATGTGTATACGTGCTTTGTTGTCGGCCTGTCGTGGATGCTGATGTCCCTGGGGGATGACGTCAGCATAGGAGTCCTGGGATGAGCAACGCTCACCGTTTCTCAGCACCATGAATGTTGCATGACTTAAACCCTCTAGTTAGTTACAAGGACATGCTCAGGATCTCACAGTGCGACGGTCGATACCCACGACAGGCTGATATACTCTTCACAAGAAATTAAGCAACAAGTATTTTCAGTGTAACATCTTTATCAATCTCGTCATGCTACTGAAAGGTAAACATTCAAAGACTACATGACCTTTAGTGACTGTCAAATTGATGTTTCTGATAACATTGACAGCATCACCCGAACACAACCACACTCAGAAACAACATGCACAATGTGTGGCATGAATGTGTTCCACTCTTCACACATGCACCCTGATCGGTGTAAACCACCTGTCATCATTCCTCTGGAACAACAAGCGGGTTCTAACTTCATTTTTATGGATGATAATGCCCGAGAAAGAGTTGTTAACTATGTTGTTTAGATCAACAACATCACACATATCGACTAGCCTGCAAGGTCACTTGATCTTATTCCCATTGAACATGCTTGGAACGTTGTTGGAAGTCGTGTTTACGGACTCCATGTTCACCCCCAGATTCTGGATGACCTTTAGCAAGCG